TTTTAACAAAGTAATTTTAAACTATTCAAACGTTTTTTTTTTTTTTTACCTATTATTCCATTAATTTCTTTGCAAACCAATTCTCACCATTTTTATTATAAATATGGCACAAAAATTTGTTAAATGCCATGAATTGTGCTCCTTTTTTTTTTTTTTCGCCTTCTCATCGATATTTCAAATTTCATTCAATGATTATGTAATTTTCATTATCATATTATCATTCTAAGATTAAAACAATCAATTAATTAAATATTTCTTATTTCATATAGTATGAGATTAAGTCTTTAAAAATACAAATATTATCGATAATTTTTTAAAAGTAGAAAAAAACTTTTTTTTTTTGTTCCTCTAGTTTTGAAATAAATTTCAATTTACTAATTTATTAGTGATAATTGAAATTAGGCTATTTATTATCTGTTCAATAAATTCTTCGTTGTAATTACTAACGTCAAGTATGATTTAGTAACAAATAATTATTAGCAATAATTAATAATTATGCAAATAAGATAATGATAATACTTTGAGAAGTACCAATTAACCAAACCTATGAGTGAAGAAAAATTGGTTTCTATATATGGCATAAATTTAAAAATATTATGTAATTCAATTTCCAACTCTATCAGGTAATGCAATTCGAAATGTACATCTTTCGATTTACAATATTAAATTTCATTACCACCGGAAATTGAAAAAAACGAATAATTTAATTAATAATTCTGATATAATTAAATTAATTTGATATATCATTGAAATATTTTGATGTATCATTGATATGTTTTTTCTTTTTTTTGCAATATATTTTTCTTTGCACTGTTATTAATTGCACTGAGTAATTAAATTAATTCAAATTTCATTAAATAATTAAATTTAATTCAAATTCCGTTAAGTAATTAAGTTTTTGATAAAAATTAATTTTTGCAATATTATGATACTATTGATTGTAATTTATCTGATAATAATTCGATATGGTAATACTATGCATAACAATTATGATTCTGTGTATTCATCACTAAATAAAATTGGATTTTTTTTAAATCAATTTTTCACAATATTTAAATTTAAGAAAAAAAATAAATTTACTTCTTTAAAGTTAATTATTTAATAGGTTTATTGGGATTAATTAATTAATAAATTCCTCACAATATTTGGTTTTATTGCACCAACTAATATTACTGATCTAATTTATGGTAATCATTGGTAATCATTTAATATGGTAATCATTTAATTTGAAATAATTGGATATTTAATTATGAAATTCTGGATAATTAGTGACGAAAATGTTGAACTGATACAAATCGAATGAGAAAATAAATAGATCTTTTTTTTTTAAAAAAAAAGAGTTTTGTAAGATTCATAAATAAATTTTATAAATTTTTCTAAAATATTTCCAATAATTTTCGCTTAATTTTTTGACTGTCCCATTAAATTAATTCTTATATTTCACTATAATAATTTGCGAATTTTGTTATAATACTGATAGCAATGATAAAAAAGATAAGAAAATACGCGAAGTGGTTAGACAAAATGATAAAATACCATTTCGTTACAAAAATGAAGATATTGATCAATTTGTTGATTTGTTTATCCTTTATCAAAATGTGACAATTTTAATTTCGCTTCAAAAAATGGTTTGATAATTTTCTTGATTAATAATTCAACTTTCTTAATTAGCAGCTTATAACTTTCTTAATTAATAGTTCTTTCTTTTTCCTCTTTGTGTAAAAAAAAGAAAATTGAATAATTCCAAATTTGCATTAGTTTAAATCAAAAAGTACTACTAACTATTAATTACAGTAATCTGACGACAAATTTAAACTTTATCATTGAAATAATCCTTGAAAATTTATTTTACTACTGAAAAATCTTATAAATTTCAATTTTCATTTAAGCAATTTTTATTTACTCAAAATTCACACTTTATATGTAATGAAAAAAATACTGGAATAATATAAATTGTATAAGTTTTGTTGCTACCTTTTTTATTCCATAAAATTTGAATAATTAACAAATTTAAATATAATCATTAATGAAAATGAAGCATAATATTTTTATTTTAATGTGAAAACACATTTTATTTTATAATTTGTCTCATTTATTTTAAAAATATTCGATGAATTTAAAATTTTGCTTGCTTTTTTTTATCTTCATGAATATTGAAATTTTATATGATATATTTTGAATAATTAATAATATGTTACTTTAATCTGTCAAATTCATCCGATAAATTTTGCTCATCCGATAAATTCGATAAATTAAATTCGATAAATTTTTTAAATTCGATAAATTCGATAAATTTTCGACAATCTGATAAATTTTACTCAAAATTTTATCCTATTACTGGAAAGTTAATCTTTTACCTTTAATATTGGAAATTTACTTATCGACAACCAGTAATATCTTTAATCATTCTCCCTATGAAAAAAAAAAAGAAAAAAAAGAAAATGCCTTAAAAAGTAAAAAAAAATAAAAATAGAACATTCTAAAAAAAAAATTAAGTACCTAAAAAAAATAAAATTAATATTCAAATTAAAAATAAAATTAATATTTTTGTTAATTTTTTTGCAGAGAATATTTGAAGATGTCATTGATTGTATCATTATATGAATATGGAATATCACATATAGCTATCAAACTTGAATTGTATATTTTATATAATAAATTTAATTATTATATATGAATAAAATAACAGATATGAAAGGATGAAATATAATTATGTAATATTACAAGGTTTAGGAAGTTTGGAAGGTTGCATATTTAAGATTTGTTTGATTGACAAGGTTTACAAGGTTTTTTTTTTTTAATATAAGGTACGCAGGGTTTAAAAGGTGTTTATAAGGTTACTTATTTAAGATTTATGAGGTTAAACAAAGGTTGCTTAGGTTTGTTATGTTAAGATGAGTAGGATTTGCAAAATCTTCAAGATTTACAATGTTTGCAAGATTTGCAAAACAATGCAAGCCTTACAAAAGAATCCGCATAAAATTTTATAAATCTTGTAACGTTACATAATTGTATTTACATTTTCCATTATGTTCCGCTATTTCTATTCCATTTCCAATTCTATCGATTAATTCTAATTTAATATTTCAATGTCAAATTGATTTATTCATTAAATGTGTTGAGGATATTTTAAAGTCCTTAATCTTATTTAAATTTATTATTTCCAATAGTTATTATTATGGACAAATTATAAAAAATAATTGTAGAGAAAAATTATAACAAAATATCATTCAAACTTTTGAACTTTGAACCATATAATTAATTGCTATTTTGTCTGCTATTTAATTTCTCATTATTTCAAGTTATCAATCAATTTAGTTTAAAGTTATATAGTTCGAAAGTTGTTGTTGTTATTATTGTTGTTATTATTATTGTTGTTGTTGTTGTTGTTGTTGTTGTTGTTGTTGTTGTTGTTGTTGTTGTTGTTGTTGTTGTTGTTGTTGTTGTTGTTGTTGTTGTTGCTGTTGTTAACATTATTATTATTATTGTCGTTGTTACTGTCTTGTTCTTTTTGCCATCTTAATTGCGCTACCAATATATATATAACTTAACCTATTGCTGTTATTATTGGTGTTGTTATTGTTGTCGCTGTTGTTGTCGTTATTGTTATCATTGTTGTCGCCATTGTTATTGTTTTGTTCTTGTTTTCGCAATATCAATTTCGCTAATGATATTAATTAAATCTATCTGTAAGAGTGTAATCTCCTGTTCAAATAATTATACTAATTGAGGGTTTTCTTGGAATATGAATTTTAAACTAGATAATAAACAAATTGTAGCAATTGCTTTTTATATTTTCCTTGCATAAGCTAATAATAATTTCAATAAGACAAGAAAAATATTAATTAGAAAAATGGTCAAGCTAATTATGTTAATTAATTTTGACTACTGTTTTGTAAAATTGTATGTCAAAATGATGCACAATTTTATTTTGTAATAAACTGTGGATGTCTTCGAAGAAATTCTTTTTTTTTTCTAAAGAAGGATTTAAGTTTTTGTTACCGTTTCTCCTTGTCTTTTTTTTATTTTTTCGAAACTGGCGAAAATTTGTTTTAGCAATGGTATTGTGACAACTTGTTAGGATAATGTAACTGAAGAAATAAAAAACATTAATAAATGGAACTTATTGAATGCAAATTTGTTTTATTGATGCCAAAATACTCTCAAAACCTTTTTTAATCATCAAAATACCAAAACAAATGTTATTATTACAATCAAATTTTAAGGAACCCTTAAATTTATTTGTTCCCTTATTGAAATATGTTTGACTTTTCTCTCCTTTTTTTTCCAGGAATATGATATTAATTATTTGCTTACTTTTCTTATGCTTTGATCCTTAATCTTTTCTGATATTTTTATTCCTTAATCTTTAACCTTTTCTTTTTTCTTCCATAAAGTTGTTGATAATTAATATCAAATAAAAAATGAATATTCTTGAATTTTGTCAAAATAAATACCATTGGATTCCTCAATTCCAGTGGCATTTCTAATTCTTTAAAAAAAAGAAATTTGTTCGGGATAAAATTCTTCGTACAATTTGTTGAATTCTGCAATTATTGTTAATTTTGATTGGGATGAAAAAAGAAATCCTAATTATCGCTTACTACAGATTTGATTCATTCGGTTAATAAAAATCTGCTGTACATTCGATCAAAATTAATAATCATCAAAAAAAAAAAGAATAGTAGAACTAGATTTTCGAAATCTTAGAGCTTTCCCATTTTTTTTTCGAAGTTAAAATTTGATGATTATCAAATTTAATTGCCAATAACATGATTTAGTGACCGAACGAATAACCTAAAATGGATGGTAAAAGAGTTCAGAATTTTTTTTTTTTAAATTTAAAAATGTTATCTATTTGTTATTACTAATACCAAAAACACAGTACACTAATTGATTACTGATCATTTAACTTAATTTATAAATTCCATTTATCAAACATTCGAGTAAATCCGTTTTCTATTAAAATTCACTGCTATCACTTTTTTTTTCCTTAAAAGAGAAAATATTTTGTAACTTTTTCCTTTCGATTCTTTTTCCAGTATCTCATCTATCTTTCCACTTAAAAAAAAAAACCCCTTATGTTATCATTCAATCTTTAAAATAATTACAATTATTCTTCTTTAAATCATTAAGCCAAGTATTACTTGTTATTTTATGAAGTAATATTGTTATTTAGAATTTTTATTGCATTGTTATAATTTTATCTGTT